CAATTTTTTAGTCTTGGATGGAAGCAAACAAAAAAATTTCGGAGGGGAGGGATCTTACTTATGTTGAGTATCCCACTTATTTTGTTTACAAAGAAGATACGCAGGAATGGCATCAAAGAAAAAAAAAGATTTTCAATTGGAAGAAGAAATCATTTTTCTGCTAATAATGGAGAAGATTCTTATTTGTGGATCCTACTTACATTTCAAAAGGGTTGTACAACTTACGAGGACTTGAGAACAATAAATGGCCAGCTATTATCTTCATTTAAGGATGCCTGCTATTCTCTGGAACTTTTGGACAATGACAATGAGTACATTAATGCAATTAAGGAGGCAAGTTTGTTGGGGTCAGCTTCGTATCTTCGAAATCTGTTTGCTCTATTGTTATTTACCAACTCAATGACCAAACCTGAAATGGTTCGGGAAAAGTGTTGGAAATTTCTATCCGACGATGTTCTTTATCAGCATAGGAAAACCATCAGACGTCAAGGTACGTGTTATGTATATATTTCATGCATTCTTTTGTATCCATAGTTCATTATAATTTTTTTTATGTCGTCCTTCAAGTGACTATCAAATTCTAAATCAAAACATACGAAGAAAAAAAAAGACAGGTAGCTTTGATTCTTTTTTCCCCACATTTAGTTTTTACAGTCTGTAATTATTATAATGAAACATGTTGAAGTTATAAAAACACACTATATAGATGAACACTACTATATGTATAAAGACAAATAATAAATTAAACAATTTTTTTATTTAATGTTATATTTTATAGTAATTACATTACAAGATAGTATTTTGTTGTTGTATTTTATTTTTCTTTTCCATGTTTGCTTTTTCTTTGTTAATTTCTTCTGCTTTGTCTGTGATGTGTGTTCAGATGCGGTTCTTATGGAAGAATCTAAAAAAATCACAACACTTGCTGAAATTGATAAGGTACTGCAAAGCAACGGTAGATGCCTTTCTGATTACCCATCAATGCCTCGCATAACCAGTGAATCTTTGCTTCATATGCAAAATATATTAGTGCTTGATGAGTTACTTTATGACAGATTTTCTTTGACAAAAGAGCATAAAAGACTAAAGAATTCCCTAACTGATGAGTAGAGAGTTGTTTATATCGTTTCAGCAGGTGCAAGAGGGTTTGTTTTTTCTTTACAACTTTGGTGGTACAAGAAAAATATTTATTTGGAATACCCTGTCAGCTTTTGTTAGATCAAATGGTAAAATTGTACTTAATGTTGCTTCAAGCGGAATTGCTTCACTTCTGCTTCCGGGAGGATGAACGACACATTCTAGATTTCTTATTCTCATTCAAATCACAAAAGATTCAACCTATAATATAACGCAAAATTCTGCTCTTGCTGAGTTGCTAGCTAAAACAAAGTTAATTATTTGGGACAAAGCCCCAATGGTACTCAGATTTTGCTTTGAGGCTCTGGACAAACACTTAGAGATATTCTTAAATTTTCTCATAGTAGTTATCTTGATAAGCCAATTGGTGGAAAAGTAATTGTTCTAAGAGGTGACTTTCGACAAATATTACTTGTTATTCCTCATGGCAGCCGAAAACAAATTGTCAATGCAATCATCAATTCTTCTCATCTTTGGTCCCATTGTCATTTATTGACTTTGACCAAGAACATGCGACTTACTTCTGGAAATGGGACTAACAATTTGATAGAAATAAAGGATTTTTCTGATTGACTTCTTAAAGTAGGAGATGGTGGTGATCTTGGAGATAATATTGATGGAGAACCTATGATAACAATTCCAGATTGATTATTGATTAAGGAATCAGAACATCCACTGTCGAATTTGGTTGATTTTGTGTACCCGAATCTCTTGGATCATATCTTAGATCTTACGTTCTTCAAAGAACATGCAATTTTAACTCATAAATTGGCAGATGTTGCTATAATAAACGAGCTCCTAATTTCTTTGATTCTAGGTGAAGAAAAGACATATTTGAGTTCAGATAATGTTTGGAAACAAAATGGTAATTCTCAACTTGGATGATGAGTTCTCACCTGAAATTTTAAATACCTTCTCATGTTCAGGAATTCCTAATCATAAATTAATTTTGAAGGTTAATGTGTCGGTTATGCTGTTGAGAAATATTGATCAGTCAAGAGGTTTATGCAACAGCACAAGATCGCTTATTTCAAGATTGGGCAACCGTGTTGTTGAAGGAACCATTTTCAAAGAAGACAATTCTCGCTGGTTGTTTCATTTGCCATGACTATCAACAAGAGCCAAGGACAATCGTTTTCTCATATGGGAATTTATCTCTCTAGGCATGTCTTTACTCATAGGCAATTATATGTGGCACTTTCAAGAGTAAAGATCAAATAAGAATTGAAGATATTGATACTTGATAATAAGGGTTGCTACAAATAGTACCTTTAACATCGTCTACAAGGAAGTATTTCAAGTATTAGTGTAGTTGATTTGATGTTGTTTAGAGACATTCCAATGTAAGAAAAAAATAGAACTCATACTTGCATATTTGGTTGAGTTGCTTTCAAATCCCTTTCAGACAACATTTTTTTGGTTCTAAAAAAAATCCAAATTTTTCTTTTTTTTTTTCTGGGACTATTACTTTTGGATGTTAACATATTAGCGTAATCTATTTAATGAGTATTTGTGTTCTATATCAGAGGCTTAAATGTGATGGTAGAAGAGGATTCCCTGATAATGCATAATCATAGGAAATCACATGTTTGGTATGTCTTGAACACATCCCTCCAATGATTGCAACGGAATAACACTGAATTAATAGTGTTTTCTTATTATTGGCAGAAGCTGATCTTTTAACTCCATATTTGTTTGGTCTTATTATTACCTTGATTTTATTGGTTTTATTGGTGGCTGTTATAGTTACCAATGAGTCATATGCATTTTTTTTTTTTTAGCCCTTCCTCATGTTAACATAGTCTACTATGACGTATTTATTTTTTATATAACTCATCGAGTAGATAACTATATTTGATTTGCATAATAATTGATCACTCTAAATAGCAGATTTTTGTTTGTGGTTAATATTTGCAAAATTCTATGTCAATGTGTAATTTTTCCCACCTGAAAATTTGAAAAAAATAGCAACACAATTTTTTATAAGTATAATGTTTGCATTGTGATTAACCAACTACGGCAGTCAATAAAAATTTTGATCTTTTTTTTCGCGCATCGAACAGATAATACACTAATAGCTTTTTTAAAAATAAGGTCAATCACCAAGCTTGAGTAGCCCATTCGTTGCCAATAGAAAAGCGGCACAATATAACGTCACTTTCCTTGACAACACATTTTAATTTAGAATCTACTCCCAACAACTCACCTCGCGGGCTTTCTTCATTGTATCTAGGGGGCGTTTGGTTGAGGAGAAATTTTTTGAATACTAGGAAAATGTAATTGATAGGAAAATGGTTGGAAGGTGAGATAAAATGAGATAGGTAGGAAAATGTAAAAAAAAAATTGTTTGGTGAGAAAAAACTTTACTGGAGAAATTAGGTAACTTTTATGAAATCTATGTTTGGTCGGAGGTAAAATATAGATGGGAAAACAAGTTGGTATTATGAAAATAACCCTGATTTTAAAAAAAAAATTACAATGGCATACTACAAACAGGGTTGTCAAATACTAGAAAACAGAAAGCAAAAGCAAAATGATCAAAGAAGAAACTAAACTCCAATTAGACAAAATAGAAAGAGAAGGTGGACATGGAAAACAAGCTGATGTCTGAACATTTGATCATCAGAACATGTTTGATGATTCGAATTAAAAGCAGATATAACTTCTTGAAGAATCATGGCAGTTGATTCTGGTTAGGAACCACCAGCAGCCAACTCATTATCTTGAGACCTTAATTGCTTCATCTTCTGTTCTAGGACGGCACCTAAAACATCTGCTCTCAATGGTGGAGGTCATAGCAAGCAATTCAGCACAGATCCTTGCCTTGTGCTCTTTTATTTCTTTTTATACTTTATTTATTTTCTTCCGTTTTGGTGTTTTAGATATATACCACTGTTTAATTTGTTATGGGGTGATGAATTTCTGGGGGAAAAAAGACTTGTTTTTTATTGGTGGAGATTTTGTACATTTGTCTTGAGGTTAGTAGAAGAGATTGATGGTCTCGTTTTGTGGCCTCAGAGGAAGTAATAACCTTTGACTTGTTGAAAATTGGAACTGTGAATCCCAAAATCAATCCTTTACATAGTGGAGGGTACGCTCATCTACCTAACGTATAATACCATACATGAAGAAGGATTATTTAGCAGGCTTTCTCATTCAGATAGATGGCCAAATTGTTTGGGTGGCAATCTGATTTAGGTAACAATATATTCAGAATCTTTAAACCAAACAAAAGCAACCAATTATCCCACTTCTCACTTACCCATCTATCTCAACATTTTCCCCCAACCAAACACACCTTAGATTTTTTACAAGACCTTCGACTAGAAGTATAAATAACTCATATGGACTAACTGGACGACCCAACCTAACTAAGCATATTATATATAATCAAATAAAATAAATTCAAATTATTAAAACAATCTATTTAAAAAAAATATTATTTGTTTTAAAATATATAACTTTTTATTATTTTAAATCTTAATTTCCATCGAAAAATCTTAAATGTTAATTTCTATTACAATGATTATAATTTATTAAATTAAATTTATTAATTAATTAATAATTCATAATAAATTATAACATTAATTAACAAAAGTCAACATTTAAGATCTAAAATCACACAAAATTGTCATTAAAAAGAAAAAATAATTTTCCCAAAAAATAAACCACATGTTTTCTTTCACATATCGAATTTATAAATCTAAAAATAAACTTATATCATATTATTTTAAATAAAATTATTATTTTAATAATTTAAATAAAAATGTGTATATACATTTAAAAAACATAGAACTATGTTATTTTAAATAAAAAAAATACAACCTAATATTTTTTATTTAAATTTAAAAAAAAAACACTCAATTCCTATCCTATAATTTCCATTGCTTATTCTCTCATTTAAAATAATATAACTATCTTTTAAAAAAACAAACACTCAAGCCTTTGAATAATTGAATAATTATTTTAATTATTTTTTTAATTACTAAACTCATAATAGACTTAAACAGACTAACACAACTAAGCTAAAATTTTATTTTTTAAATATAAAAAACCAAATTTATAATTTGAATATATACAAAACTAACAGAACAAACCTGGCTTAAAATATTTTCCATAGGATTATCCTATTTAGCCAACCCCGCCTATTTACTCCCCTCCCTTCAACGTTCTAGTGTTGTTAAAGTTGTGCAACCTCAAAAACATTTCCTGAAATTAGAGAAATTTTTTAAAAAAAAATATCATATCTAGGTAATGCCATGGATAATGTCTCACTTTTCACTTAAGAATCTACATGAGCTCTGTACACTGAATTCAGACGACGGGTTAGTAAGAATACACTCGATCAATTTTTTAAAGAACAAAGACCCCTAGGGACAAATAGGCTTCGAGCAGTGGAAGTGCTGCTGAATAACCATCCTCACTCATCACACTAGCCTAAGATGTAAATATTCACTGAGCAGGCAGATAGGCTTCTCCCTTCTTGAAGCCATATTTGTATTTGACTGATCTATCACTTAAACCCCTACCCATTGTTCATTCAGATGCCTAATCATCTCCCAAGGTGATCTCTCACAAAAAAGGAATGCTTCAGAGCATCCCTAGCTGTAAGTCTTTCAAAGGGGTCATATCTAAGTAACCCCTGCAAAAGCTGTATAAGATCTCCAGCTGAATGATCAACATGCTGCATTATAAGGTTCTGCAATATTTGAGAAAAATCAAAGAGTAAGAAGCCAACATGACTTATTGACGATTGCTTTATATAGTAAAATCAGAAAGCATTCAAGAACTAAATAAAACTTCTCCATGATACCTGTAGTCGAGGAAGCTTCGTCACAGCTTTAATACTCTCCCTCGAGGTTGCACACTCTGGCCAGTCCAATCTACCCCTTCGGACATACTTATCAGCATGTCGGCTAAATATGCGCAAAGTAAAATAAAGTCACACGGATGTTCAAGATCTATCAGTTGATAATAATAGAAAGTTCCCGTGGAAAATCACTTACTCAACTTTCTTCAACAGCTGCTGTGGTATTGGACCAAGCACCCTCTCCATCATGGCAAGATGCTCTAAATTTTCGTGAGTCTGAAACAAAGCTTCACCCTGAAAAAGAAGCTCAAACGTTGATTTAAACCAAAAAAAACACACAAAAAAAACAAAAAACCGGATAACAAGACTCAGAATATTCACAGGGCAAACTTACAGTGCATAACTCAACCAATATACAACCCACACTCCATATATCACATGGGTAGCTCCACCCAAGTCCTACAAAACCATTGCCAAGATGAACTATTCAGCTGGCATCATCAGCAACAAGATTTATAAGCATAATAGGAGCATATGAACAAAAGCAGCATTCATTTGCTGTATAAATACCAAGAATAACTTCAGGTGCCCTATAATGACGTGTTGATACAATGTAGTTCTGATTATCTCGTTCATATGTAGTGCTGCCAAAATCAATAACCTTTATAGCACTTGACTTGGGCACTCTCTTGAAAAAGGAACTTGGTGATCTAGATGAACTCTGTTAAAACATAAACAATGGACATCAGAGATGATATATCTTAAATCTAACATAATCGTGAAGTGGATTTTTAGCCACTTGAATTTCACTTTTTTCTAAAAGCCCATTCTTTAGTTTTACTTACAGCTAAAAGAGAAGCCAAAGTTGGCATAACTAATAGCAGTTTTAAAATAATTTTAAAATCTATATTTAAAAGGAAAATGCACATGCATCAAATTAAATTGAACTTTCTCTCACACCAGCATTGCAGGTTCCTAATCTAGTATGATTTAACACTGAAATAAACAAAGCCATAACATAAAAATATATATACAGGTACCGCAAGCAACAAAAGTACCTTGTAATCAGGAATTTTAAGATACTCTGATGAAACTAGAAGTATGTTTTCAGGCTTCAAGTCAGTATGGATCATGTGTAAGTCATGCATGACTGCAATTTTATAAAAATAAAAACAAACACCATTAGAAAGTCAACCCTAAAACAACAGAATGATAATAATCAGCATGCACACCTATAAAAATAAGATAATTAGTAAAATGAAATATTAATCAATGAACAAAGTATAGGACATAATTTGCACAAAACAGAAGTGGAAAATAGATGAAATTGATCAAAAGAAAACTACACACATGCTACACATTCCAACAGTTGTCTGCCAATCTCACGGACAAGATCAATGGGAAATGAACGATAATTGTTTTTCCGAAGAAAATCGTATAAGCTTGGTCCAAGTTTCTCAAACACCTGTTGCAACCATTCGAATTCACCCACGTCTTAACCCCCAAATTATGTATATTGGGGAAATCAATCCATCACAAATCAATCAAATACTTACAATACAGATATGATTACGATAGTCAAACCAGTTCCGTATTTGCACACAACTGCAAGGAACAAACCCATTTAACCAATGCAATGGAATCAAAGACGTTACATTTTACTAGCATATATAACAAAATTTCAGCCTAAAATACTTACCGATTGCCACCTTTATCATGTTTCCCAAGCTGTTGCAGTACCTCGATTTCTATCATGGCTGCATCTCTATACTTCTTTATCGCACGGACAATTTTTATGGCAACCATTTCCTTCCTTTCTCTGTCCCAACACTCCAAGACCTGCCCAAAAGTTCCTTCGCCCATTTTGCCATGGATTTTATCTGTAATCATGTAAAAGGAGTGTAAACAATGCAAGTCTAGTCAATGAAACAAACTCCAAGATCCAGTTTTTGAACATCCAATGCCCAAAACGGTTCCGAGTCCGGGAACATGAACAATAATGTTTCCTAAAGCTAAAACAGGATTGATAAAGGTGTTGCAAATACTTAAAATTAAGTTCACATTTGAAGGTTCAGGGAGTTAAGACTTATTGCATATGAATCTACATACTGAATTTTTAAATTAAATGGCAGTTTTATCAAAAAGAAATCAAACTACGACTGAGGCCATGACATATGAATGTAAACTTCTTAATGATGGTAAAGTGTATTTACAGCGAGAAGTTAAATTTTCTCCAAGCGCAAACATGTAATGGCCATCTTTGTCGTCATCTCGCCATGGGGGAGAACCATTTCGAGCAACTCCCTTAAACAGAGAACTAGTGGTATGTTCTGAAGGAGCATAGCTTGAAATATTCTCAACCTCTTGTCCACAAAACAATCCTACCTGAGCCTACACACAGTCATCCATACATGCACCACTTAAAGCGTTAAAAGAAACAATATTACATTCCACCATCATGAATTCTCACCTATACATTTGCCCCATCTCAAATTGTCAAAGAAAATAACAAGGGAAAGATAAACAAGCATCCTAACATACTGAATTAAACATCAACAGCACAATAACGCATAAAATAAAACATACAAAGTACAAACAAAGAATCACAACATCTTCATCAGAATAGACAGGGATTATTACTATTCTTTGTTAAAAAATGATATCATTAAAAAAAATGTGAATTTCCAACACCAAAAATAAAACTTGAGGGAAAATCATTAAAAAATGTTTTTTCTTCTGATAACTACGAAAAAAAATAAAACATAATAGATCAATCAAACTAAACAGGAAATCAGTAGATAAATCCTAAAAACGCCATATAAGAGACAAAAGAAGCAACTTTACCTGAACAAAACATTAATTAACACAAAATCGACCAGATCTACATCAAGAGACATAAAACAACCTCAAAAAATCATGAGATCCAAGACTATAGGATGAAAAAAAGGTTACCTTGGGGACCTCAGGGACATCCCAGCCCAATCGCGCCCTCTTTCTTGGGGGCCGATCCATGTAAGTGTGGGGAAATTCAACGACGCGCTCCATCTCCATGATTGCAGAAAAAAAATCAAAGGAAACCTGAGAAGAATAGGATTTGAGAGGGAAAGTTTCAGGGAAGAAGATAAGATTTCGTTCGCACACAGCGAACCCTAATTCTAACCACCCTTGAGGCGGTTGAGGCGAAATCTAACCGTACACGTGTCTCGGAGCGTCGCATCTTGGTTGATTTGATGGTTGTGTTAACTGTGGGCTGTGGTTGAGTCTGGCCCAACTTTTAACCATGGTTGGCATATATTTAGTAATTGGTGGACTGGAATAATTCCATATGCTGCAGTATATGCCGTACCTAAACTTTCACGCGTTTATAAAAATTTATTATTATTTCATCAGAAAAGTTAGTATTTAATATTTATACCAAAAAAATTAAAAAAAATTAGGTGTATTTATTAGCTAATGTTGTTATTATTTTTAAAGAAGTATGTCTATCTTATTGCATAATACAATTTTATCTTATGTAAGATATAACAAAATGAATGATACTTACCAAAAATAAGAAAGAGAAAGAAAGAAAAAACAGATTTCACTCATTTTTTTACGTATACATGAGAAAAAATATCTTATATAATATAAAAGACATATTTTCATATTATTAATATGGGAAAAACAAGTATCATGTTGTAGGAAAATAGTATCACTTTTCCTACAGACATACAAAAGCACATGGGTCTCACTTTTTTTATTTTATCTCACCACTCTTTTCTCTTTCCTCTCTATGTTTGTGTGTGTATGAAAAGGGTACTATTTTCTTACAATACGAGAAAAACAAATCTCTATTAATATATATTTTACAGTGAATACATATAACTTATCTACATTGAGCTCAAAACAACGTCGTTTTGATATGGAAATTAAGATATTTTTGTAATTATAATTTATTTTAGGGTTATGGCAGTCTTTTTCATTTAATTTTTTAACCCAAAACGACATCATTTTAGGAATAAATATAGATAACTTATCTACCTTCAATAAGATTTCTACGTGTTAGTTGTCATCAATCTAATTATCTTTTCAAATATAAACATATGTAATAAACTATTTTTTCATTTTTTTTGGCATTTGACCATTAAAAAATCATTTCAATTTAATTTATTGTTAAATATTAATTCTAATTGATTTTGATAGAAAATAAATAAAATATCAATTTATTTTAAATATTATTTAATTTAAAAATTGATATTTTATTTGACTTATAAAATAATTAATTACAACTAATAATATATGGACTCAGATTAATTTTTAAAATTTTAAAATACAACGGGTTCACTTTATATATGTCCTCTTGTTTTTTTATTTCTTCACCTTTTTATATTTTTTTTCCCCTTACAAATATCAATCATGGCTCGTTAAATACTTTTAATAATGGAAAATAATTTTTTTATGTTGTAGAAAAAAATTATTTCATGTAATAGAAACAAAATTAAAAATGAGAGTCGCAGATAAGAGGGGAAATAAAAAATAGAAGTGGGACCATTCCTCTTTTGTATGTGCTGAAAATTTATTTCTCTTATGTAACATAAAAGAAATATAACCCTTTAATAATCTACCTTTTATTTTTTAGTAAAAAGAATCTATTAAATTTGGGCTGGAGCGCACCAATAATAGCAGGTGTGGTGTGCTTGGTATTCTTCTCTTTAGGGTCTGTTCGGATAAGTTTTTTTTTCTTAAAAAACTGTTTTTTTTTTAAAAAGCACTTATCAATTTAATTTATTTAAATGTCTGCTTTAAAAAAAATAGAAGTCATAAAAAAGCTAAAAAAATCTGCTCTCTTTTTTTGGAAGCTAAAACTTTAGATTCTAAACAAAACATAAGTCAAAAGCTAAATATTTTTTTCAAAAATTAAAATTTTTTTAAAAAAGTATAAACAATTTTAACTTTGGCAAAAAGTACTTCTAAAATAAGCAAGGCATAAAAGCTGTTCTTTTTAAAAGGCCAAACAAATGGGCTCTTAATACAGAAAAGAAAAAAAAAACACTTATTTAATTTGTGAAACATAAAAGATAGTTTACACACACACAAAAAAACATCATTTGTTTGATTGTTAAAATAATATTAAGTATTGGACTAAAAATAATTCTAGAAAATTGACCACATATGGTGAAATCGTGAAATTGGTTACCCCTTAGTCATAATTTGTGTGCTATACTTGATGCTTGTTTGTATTAGTTTGATTTTCCAGTCCTTGGTCTGATTATTCTAAATTAGTATATTTTTAGATTAACTTACGGGTTTAATTTTGGTACACTAATATATGAATAAATGGATGGTATGGTAAAAAAGCTTGCGTTGATAATACAATTAAAATTATATTTTATATGCAAGCTGATATTTGGTTTTATATTTTAAGGGAAAATATTTTCTTCTTTTAAAGGAGAAAAAAAATTTCTACTAATGACTTATGAGATAAGTGGGGTTTACAAAATAGTGGAGAAAAATTGTTGGGACTTGGAATCTATTTATGTCATGAGTCATCGGTAGGAGAAATAATTATCCATATCTTAAGAGTGTAGAGAATCCTTTTGACATCATCATCAACAACACCTTTATTCCAAATTAGAGAATCCTTTTGACATAAGAAAAAAAAATTCAAGAAATTATTTTCAATTGAAAAACTGTTTTGTATAGAAGTCTAATAAAATCAAGGTTTTCGTTTTATCCTTTAACATAACACAACAAACTTTCCTACACTCACAATATTTTGTGGGCCCACACTTTTTAAAACAAAAAAATAAATAAAAAATTAAAGCACGCAAAACGAATCTCTATAACATTACACAATTATTTTTCCTACAACATAACTCTTATAAAACCCTAAAATCAAATATAGCTAGTGATAAATGCTTCAAAGTTGTAACAAGACATCCGTAGAGGAACATCATAACAAGTTAATCTTATGCTATGCTTCTAAATCATGACACTGTTCCTCCTACACCACAATCTATTTATTGTCCGTCCATTCTAATCCCGACATGAAAATATAACAATGCACACCTTCTCTTTAGAAAAGAAAGGAAACCAGTCTTGCAATACAGGAGGAATCAAAGGCGCTTCTCTTATGAGATTGGAAAATATTTTTTCACTAATTCGATTTGTGAAACCCATCTCACCCAATGTTGTTAAACTCGAGTTTCTACGTAGAAACAGAAAGAAATGATAGAAACATAAAACGTAAAAACAATACGAAACGTAAAGTTTTTACTTTCTACTACTTAAGATCAAGATACAAAATTATATATATATATATATATATATATATATGTGTATGTATGTATGTATAAAAAATATCACATAATGAACATGTGTGTTGAGTTACATATATATCTAAAAAGAAATTTTTGTTTATAATCAAGTATCAAAATTATAAACAGTGATAACTAACAAGTAACAAGTAATGGATAATCAATTTGCTCTAACTGTTTTATACACTCTGTAAATTTTGGATCATCATTCATTAGGATATAATTCAACTTCTTTCAATGCACACAATGATTCAAAAATACAAAACGATTTTCATAGCATAACTTATAATAGAATTGCAGTTTTATAAGACATAATTATAAAAGACATATATCCAAACAAAAAGATATCAAGATATTGTGCATATAATTTGGGAAAAATGAAAAATGGGTTTTTTCTATTTTCTTTTTTTGTAAATCTTTTTTAAAAAAAAATTTATTTTTAAGTAAAAACGGTAAAAACGTAAATTTTTACTATTTTTACGTTTTTACACGACGTTTTTATTAGTTTTTACCAGGGACAGTTATTACTTGCGTTTTAACACGCACCACTCTAGTAAAAACGTAAAAACGTAAGTTTTTACATTTTTACACTAGTTTTTGACAACAATGATCTCACCTCTAATGATTAAATTATTAAATAAATATAATAGTGATGTTACCTCGTACAAGAATTTATTAGCCTTGATAATGCACATGTCTTTGCTACCTGTACTTATAAACTTTGCATTATTTAGTTATTTATTAATAGAATAAAGGGTGGTGAATATCAAATTCGTGACTACTTAATCAGATAAGCTCTAGTAATATATGAAAAATCATTTCAACCTAAAATTGTGAGACAAAATTAATAGTTTTATATATTTCTCTAATATACTCTGTCACACTAGTTTGAAGGACGGACAATGAATCATATATTGGCCTTGAAAAGCGAATAACATAAACCCCAAAGGATAACTCAGTTGATAACTAAGTGCCCAAGGATTTTCTTTGGTCAGAGGTTCAAACATTGGCCAAAGTAAATTCTTGAAATTCTTTGGATGTTATAAAAATTGCCTCCCCCTCTAAGAGGGATTAGTTTCATCCTTTTTCTGATGAAAGTGGTTTAATACACCCTCTGTTTTAATAAGGAGATAGCCTTAAAGGTTGTACTTCCAGAACAAGGTGGCTGGAGGAGATTATGTAGGGATATCTCCAAGTTATTACAAAAAAATAAGTGGTAGCATGGTGGGTACATGGGCTATAATGGGTGATTTCAACGAGATAGTTTCTCCAAAAGAGAAAAAAGGGGGAGCCCATGTCAACCTTGCCAGATGCCAGAAGTTTTCTTCATTCCTGAATGATTGCAATTTACTGGATCTGGACAATAAAGGTGCTACCTTTACGTGGAGGGGACCAAAGTGGCTCCATCTTGAAAGAGTCTTTAAGAGACTGGACCGAATTTGTTCCAATGCAGATTGGAGAACCACTTTTGGAGAAGCTGTTGTTAGAGCCCTGCCTAGACTTAACTCTGACCACAATCCCTTTCTTCTTACTCTTACCACTAAAGAGCATCAGTGGAAAGAAAGACCCTTTAGGTTCTTGGTGGCTTAGCAAAGCCACATCACTTTCACTCATTTTCTCAAGTTTATTTGGAACAATCAGATCAAGATCAACATAGGCCTTAGCAATCTGATTCCCCCTCTCAAGTCTTGGAATAAAAGAGTGTTTGGCTGCATACAAGTTAGAAAAGAACATCTGCTCAAAAAGATCCAAGAAACCAAGAATCACCACATCAATCACCTGGATCAAGCTTATTCTGACTTAGATAAAGCCTTACGGGATGAATTGAACAGAGTTCTTGAGCAAGAAGAAGCT